TGGTACAGGAAGTGTGCGGAATATATATAAAATTTTGGGGAGTATACACATTTTCAGGGTCGCTATTCTCCCGAGTTTGGATAGTGTAGACGTGCGTAAATTGTTAAGTTCCAGCGGGATAGAATCGAGGAGAAGTTTATGGTTAGCCCCATATAGTTTCTCTAACGAGGAGGTGAGGTTAATTCCCAGGTAGGGTATGCTGTGTTGTTCCCATATAAAGGGAAATTGTTTACTTAAAGATTGCTGGACTTTGGTAGGTACATGGAGATTTAAAATCGAGGATTTGGCTTCATTAAGTTTATAGTATGAGACTTCCGAGTATGACTGAAGATGGGTTCATATTGCATGAAGAGATTTTTGTGGGTTTGTGATCATTAATATGATATCGTCTGCAAAAAGGCTGATTTTATGTTCTCTGTCTAGATGGGTGATCCCTGTGAAGGAAGGGTCAGCTCTGAGACGCGCCGCTAAAGTTTCAATGAGTAATGTAAATATTATGGGGGACAAGGGGCATCCTTGTCTCGTGCCATTAGGTATGTGAAAGGGTTTGGACAGTGTACCGTCGGTCAATACTCTGACTGATGGGTGGGAATAGAGCGAGAGGATTGCGGAGAGCATCCAACCGTTCATTCCAAATTTTTGTAGTGTTAGCTTCATAAATTGCCAGTGTATACGAACGAATGCTTTTTCTGCATCAAGGGAAAGGAATATAGAGGGTTATTTGGTGGAGTCAAGTTTGTGGAGGAGAGATAACAGTCTTCTGGTAGCATCGGGTGCCTGGCGGCCGGGGGTGAATCCTACTTGGTCCGGATGGATTAGTAGGGGAAGAGAAGGTAATAGTCTTTGAGCTATTATTTTGGCGTAAAGTTTGATGTCTGTGTTTAGCAGTGAAATCGGTCTATAGTTATGGGTTAATTGGGGGTCTTTGCCTGGCTTTGGGACTGTAGTGATTATGGATATTAGCATTTCTTTCGGAAAGGTGCCTGCTTCAGCCACATGGTTATAGAGCATGGAGAGATAGGAAGTTAAATGTGGGGCGAATGTTTTATAAAATTCATTAGTGAAGCCATCAGTACCTGGGGATTTGTTGAGAGGCAACGATCGAATGATTTTTTTTCTATTTCCTCTGGCGTTATAAAGGAAGATATAGATTCAAGTTGTGAGGATGTAAGGTGAGGAAGATGTATATTGTTTAGGAATTTTTGTATTAGTGTGGGTGTTGGTTGAGATGTATTTGGGTCATCTACAATATTGTATAGTGTCTTGTAGTAATCAGCAAAGGCCTCCGCTATATCTTGTGGGTTCGTAAAACAATCGTGTGTTGTAGGGTGCCGGATAGAGGTAATTTTAGTTTTAAGGCGTTTTTGTTTAATCGTTTTGATTAGGAGTGAGTTTGCTTTATTAGCCAGGGAATAGAATCGTGTTTTTGTTTTCTGTAAGTTTAAGTCATATTTGTGTAGTAGGAGTATACGGAGTTTGTTTCTATCAGCGGAGAGAGATGTAGATATGGAGGGGGTAGGGTTTTTCTTATTTGCGTCTTCCTTAAGTTTTATGGATGTTAGTAATTGGTCGATTTGTTTAGTTCGGGTCTTATTTATGCGTGTGTTAAGTTGAATAAGAATACCTCTCATATATGCTTTGTAAGTAGGCCATAGTGTGGAAATGGAGATATCAGGAGTATCATTACATTCAAAAAATACCTTATGTGCATCTAATAAGTATTTCTGGTTCTCAGGCTGTTTCAAGATCGTAGAGTTCATTCTCCATATTCGGGGGATTGAAGAATGATGAATATCGTCTAGGGTTATATTGACTGGAGCATGGTCCGACCAAGTTATATTGCCGATATTGGATGATGTTATATGTTGAAGAGTCCATTTATCCGTAATGAGAAAGTCTATTCTGGAGTATGATAGGTGAGCTGGGGAAAAATACGTGTAGTCTCTTTCCGATCCGTGTTGGCAACGCCAGATATCATATAGGTCGTGTGTGTGTAGAAAGTTGTTGAAGCTCAAGTTGGGAGTTCTTTTGGCAGAAGATGAGTACAGAAGTGTGTTTCCAATGATGTTGAAGTCCCCTCCAATAATAAGCCTACCCTGTGATATAGGAGAGACTGTAGAGTAGAGTTTTTTGTAGAATTTCATCTGTTGGTGGTTAGGGCCGTATATATTGACCAGAGTGTATGGGATATTATTGATTTTACCAATTAGGATATGAAAGCGACCTTGAGGGTCCGCCAACTCAGAAATTAACTGAAATTGTATAGAGTCCTTAATGGCTGTGATAACACCATTTTTTTTTCTTTTGGTTATTAGCCATGTAGATGTGGGAGAAGCCGTGCATATTTAGCTTTGGGAGTTTAGAAGATACAAAGTGTGTTTCCTGTAGGAACAAGACATCAGCATGGAGTTTGCGGGTCTCTTTGTAAAGCATAGATCTCTTAAAGGGAGAGTTCAAGCCTCGTACATTCAGAGATGTAAGGTTAATCATTTGTAGTGTTGGTGGACTGTTTGGTAGAGTATGTTAGTTGTTTTTAAAATAGTGAGATAGTGACTACCGAAAAAAAATTGCAGAGGATATGTTCCATCATGTGTTTGGTTGTGAAGAGGGTCAGACGAGCTGGTGGTTCCGGGGATTGGATAGGTAGGAAGGGGTAACAAAATCTTGCGGATAACGCAAGGAACATGAGTAGCAATAATCGCTACTGTCAAACATGGGGGTGCAGGTTGGCGTTGACCACAACAGAGGTCATGCCAGACTTTCAATCGAGACATTAGTGAACTTAGTGAGGCCGTGAGTCAGTGTTTCAGATAATAGCATTCATTCAGCTGAGGAGTCACAATAGGACCTGATAAAGGTACTCAGAGATTTGGTTATTCTGCTTCCATTTGTTGGTGATTGTAGTGGGCAGAGCGTGGCGGATCCACTGGTATTATGTCCCAAGATTGCAGTAAGTCAATGCCGGATTCCAGTGATTTAATAGTGAAAATGCTACCGTGGCGTTTAACTACTAGTTTAGTAGGGAACCCCCACTGATAGCTGATGCCGTGGTTACGGAGTGCCTTGGTAACAGACACAATTTTTTACGGTTGAGGAGTGTATCCTTTGACAGATCTGCATACAATTTGATGTTCATGTGGGATGGTGGAAGAGGTGGCGGGTTTCTGGCAGCGGCCATCATGCGTTCTTTCACATGGTAAAAATGGATGCGGGCTAGAACATCTCTCGGAATAGAAGCTGGGAGGAAAGATGGTTTGGGTATCCGATGTGCCCGATCTATGGCTATCTCTTGCTCCGAGATAGATGGGAGTAGGTGCTTCATAAATTGTTGAATGTATGGGAGCAGAGCATCAGTGGTAATGGTTTCTGGTATACCTCTTAATTTGACGTTATTCCGCCTCGAGCGATCTTCTAGATCTGCTATTTTTAACTTAATTTGCTCAAGATCTTTCGAGTGATCCATGTGTGTGCGTCAATCATGTCATTATGAGCTGATATCATGTCTTCCATTCTTGTTTCAATATGGCGTATTCTCGAGTCTTGTCGTTGCCTTGTATTCGAGATTTGGGTTAAGGAAGCCGTGATATCATTATGCAGTGTCTGACGCAGGGAAAGTAGCATATTTTTCATACTAATCTCTGTGATCGGTTGATCACAGGGAATGATTCATACTAATATTCATACACAGGGAATATTTTTCATACTAATCTCTGTGATCGGTTGATACAGGGAATGATTCTATCAGTGAGGGTGTAATGTTTTCCTGTAGTGTAGGGAATACATTTGGTAGATTTTCAGTGATAGGATCCATTTCCAGCTTTGGCCTTGATTTTACAGGGCTGCAGGCAGTAGGGGATAGTGGAGGTGATAATGGTGGAGATGACTCACCCGGGTCCCCGGGGTACAGAGGAGCTCTCAGGCGTGGATCTGTGTGCAGGGCTGCACTATCTCCCCTCGTGCTGCTGTGCCTGTCTGACGAGCCGGCGCCATCTTGGATGTCAGAGGAGACGGCCGGGAAGAAACTCGTCAGTTTCCCTGGTGATCCAGGGGTTCTGCGACGGTAAGGCATGGCTTTGAAGGGTTGCACACCCTTCATAAGTGATCCGGTGATGGTCGGGATCCTCAGATCTGGTAAGTGCCGCTGTTACACCGACGGCGGGACGGAGCGGGTCTCAGACCGTGACCAACCCGCTTCGCCGGCCGCGCATGCGCCCCAGAATTATATTTTTAGATGAACTGGGAGAGGGTTCAAAACCCGTCACTATATTTCTGCCCTGTGGGTTTCATTAGAGAGATTTTCTGCTACTTCCTGTCCTAGATACACAACAGGAAGTGGGAGGAAATTTCTCCAAAGTGAGGGAAAACGTCCCTCAGAATAGGTCCATTGCAGGATTTCCTCTCTTCCTGTTGCAGTGACAACTCAAAATGTTGGAATATACGATCATAATATTGTCAATAATCATCAGGATAAACAGAGACAGCGGGTCTATTTCCCCCATGCATGTTTTGAAGATTAAAGTACATGTAAACTCAGAATTATATTTTTGGATGAGTTTGGATAACACTAAAGCCGTGACTTTTTTTCTGCCCTCTGTCTTTTATTGGGGAGATTTTACACCACTTCCTCTCCCACAGAGCCTTTCAGAACAGGTGTCCCCACTGTAGGATTTCCCCACTTCCTGTTCCAGTGACAATTCAAAATGTTGGATTTTCCTATCACATTCACTCTCAATGGTTTTCTAGGATGAACAGAGACCCTAGCTCTCTTTTACCACACCTATTTGTATTATTAACCGCTAGCCTACAGGGCACTTATACCCCCTTCCTGCCCAGGCCAATTTCCAGCTTTCAGTGCTGTTACACTTTGAATGACAATTGCGCAGTCATGCAACACTGTACCCATATGAAATTGTTATCATTTTTTTTGTGACAGATAGAGATTTCTTTTGGTGGTATTTAATCAACTCTGGGTTTTTATTTTAAGTGATTTTTCTCCTTCACTGATGTGCGCAAATGAGACTGAAATGATGGGCACTGATAGGCTGCACTGATGGACATTGATGAGGAGGCACTGTTAGGTGGCACTGATGGGCATTGACAGGCATCACTGATGGGCACTGAAAGGCAGCACTGATACATGGCACTGATGCGCACTGATAGGTGGCACTGGTTGGCAGCACTGATAGGGGGCACTGACTGGCACTGATGGGTGACACTAAAAGGCAGCTCAGATGGGCACTGATATGTGGCATTGATGTGCACTGGTAGGCACTGATATGTGGCATTGATGGGCACTGGCACGAGGCAGTGATGAACAATGACAGCTGGCACTGATGGACACTGACAGGTGGCACTGCTGGGGCTACACTGATCATCAGGGCACACTGATCATCAGTGCCCTGATGATCAGTGTACATGTCCCCTCCATGGAAAGCCGATTGCCGGCTCTCTTCTCCTCTGTCAGCGTGAGAGGAGAGAAATGCTGATAACCGGCATTTCCCTGTTTACATGTGATCAGCTGTGATTGGACACAGCTGATCACATGACCGAGCCGACATTTTCGACTCTTTCCGTGATTGGTGATCCGCTATGTCCAAGGGACACAGCGCACCGCCGATCGACCGCGCGCGCTCCCCGAGCAGCGCATGCGCGGTGAGAATGGGAGGACGTCATATGACGTCCTCCCAGAACGAGAGAACCACCTTGCGTCCGTCATATTACTATTCAGTGGGCGGGAGGTGGTTAAAGTACATCCAAAGTCAAAATTATATTTTATTTTTGGATGAATTGGGGGAGGAATAAAACCCCTGAGTTTTTTTTCTGCCCTCTGTGTCCTAATAGTGAGATTTACCACCATTTCCTGTCCTAGAGAGACAACAGGAAGTGAGAAGATATTTCTCCAAATTGAAAAAAATTGCCTCTCAAAATAGGTGTACCCACTGGAGGATTTCCCCACTTCCTGTTCCAGTGACAACTGAAAATGTTGGATTTTCCTATCACATTCACGCTCAATTACCTTTTGTATCTCCCCATGCATGTTTTATTATTAAAGTACATCTATACCCAGAATTATAATTTATTGTGGATGAGTTAGGGGAGAGTCACTATTTTTTTTTTGCTATCTGTGTCATACATGTTTATTCCCAGTGAATATTGGTGATGAGGGTGAATCACACAGCAATAAAAACCTGACAGTGGATCTAACTCCTCCCCACTAGGGATGGATTCATTCCAAGCCCATGCTTGGCAGAACCTGAAAGTCAGCTACTAGTGCTGGACCAATGAGCTGTGGGTGGGGGATTCCCTGCTCCATAGTTGCATAAACACAAAGGGGCGGGGCTGTTTGTGACAACACTGACAGCTGACTTCTGAGTTCTATCCAACAATAAAAAAATCAGTTTGTATTTAGTAGACAGGGCACTTTCGTCCTTTTCCTGCCCAGGACAATTTTTAACTTTCAGCACTGTTGCACTTTGAATGACAATTGTACGGTCATGCAACACTGTACCTATATTACATTTTTATCATTTTTTTTAAACACAAATAGAGCTTCCTTTTTTGGTGGTATTTAATCGCCACCTTGGTATGCAGACTGCTTCTACAATTATTTGTGAAAGAATGGGTCGCTCTGAGGAGCTCAGTGAATTCAAGTGCTGGGTACTATGATAGGTTGCCACCTGTGCAATAAGTCCATCCGTGACATTTCCTGGCTACTAAATATTCCATGGTCAACTGTTACACAGGCCATAGATGGGGAGAAAACCAGCTGATTTTTCTTTAAAAAAACGAAAAATTGGTCATTCAATCGGCCGACGTTACCATGAAAGGTAAAAAAATTGGCCGAATTTCATCCCGTCTACAGCCGAGAGCTCCGCTATTTCTTTGACAGTTCTTTGACATTTATAGCGGCTGCAACATTGTATCTATTTGTATTCATTTTGGATACAGATGTTTTTATTCGGAAACAAATAGAAACATTGTTGCAGCTGCTTTAAATGTCAAAGAACTGTCAAAGAAATAGCAGAGCTCTCTGCAGGGACATTTTTTTGCTGGACTGGAATTCTTCTTCTTCTTCATCCTCTTCTTCTTCTTCATCCTCTTCTTCTTCATCATCTTCATCATCTTCTTCTTCCTCTTCTTCATCCTCTGCTTCTTCATCATCCTCTTCTTCTTCTTCTTCATCTTCTTCCTCTTCCTCTTCTTCTTCATCCTCTTCTTTTTCTTCATCCTCTTCTTCTTCTTCCTCTTCTTCTTCTTTATCCTCTTCTCCTTCTTCATCTTCTTCTTCTTCATCTTCTTCATCTTCTTCTTCATCATCTTCTTCCTCTTCCTCTTCTTCTTCATCCTCTTCTTCTTCTTCATCCTCTTCTTCTTATTATTCATCCTCTTCTTCTTCATCCTCTTCTTCTTATTATTCATCCTCTTCTTCTTCTTCTTCTTCCTCTTCTTCTTCATCTTCTTCTTCATCCTCTTCTTCTTCTACACTTCCTCTTCTTCTTTTTTTTCTTCATCCTCTTCTTCTTCTTCATCCTCTTCTTCTTCATCTTCTTCCTCTTCTTCTTCATCTTCTTCCTCTTCTTCTTCATCCTCTTCTTCTTCTTCCTCTTCTTCTTCTTATTCTTCTTCCTCTTCTTCTTCTTCATCCTCTTCTTCATCTTCTTCATCCTCTTCTTCTTCTTCATCCTTCTCTTCCTCTTCATCCTCTTCTTCCTCTTCATCATCTTCTTCCTCTTCTGCTTCCCCTTCTTCTTCTTCCTCTTCTTCTTCTTCTTCATCCTCTTGTTCTTCTTTTTCTTCTTCTTTTTGTCTTCCTCTTGCAGGTCACTGCTCATGTGCAGATTTTTTAGCGGTTAAAAGATCGGCCGATTTGCCCATCATTGCCGCGACTTTTACCGATAAAAAAAAATCTGCCAAAATACCAAAAAACAGCTGACCTATTAACCCACTAACGATCCAAAAATCGGCTGATTTTATTTTCGCTCGAAAAATCACCCAATTTTCGACCCATCTATGGCCTGCATTAGTAGGATTATAACAAAGTGGAAGCAACTGGGAACAACAGCAACTCAGCTAAATGACAGAGCGGGGTCAGTGCATGCTGAAGCACACAGAGCGCAGAAGTCGGCAGCTGTCTGCAGAGTCAATAGCCAAAAGACCTCCAAACTTCGCGTAGTCTTCAGATTACACAACAACAGTGCGTAGAGAGCTTCATGGAATGGGTTTCCATGTTCAAGCAGCTACATCCAAGCCTTACATCACCAAGTGCAATGCAAAGCGTTAGATGCAGTGGTGTAATGTAGGCGCCACTGGACTCTAGAGCAGTGGAGACGTGTTCTCTGGATTGACCAATTACACTTCTCTGTCTGGCAATCCGATGGATGTGTCTGAGTTTGGCAGTTGCCAGGAGAATGGTACATGCGTGACTGCACTGTACCAAGTGTAAAGTTTGGTGGAGGGGGATTGTGGTGTGGGGTTGTTTTTCAGGGGTTGGACTTGGCCCCTTAGTTCCGGTGAAGGGAACTCTTAAGGCATCAGCATACCAAGACATTCTGGATAATTTCATGCTCCCAACTTTGTGGGAACAGTTTGGGGATGGCCCCTTCCTGTTCCAACATGACTGAGCACCAGTGCACAACACAAGGTTCACAAAGACATGGATGAGATAGTTTGGGGTGGAGGAACTTGACTGGCTTGCACCTCAACTCAATAGAACACCTTTGGGATGAATTAGAGCGGAAACTGTGAGCCAGGCCTTGTCATCCGACATCACTGCCTGACCTCACAAATGCACTTCTGGAAGAATGGTCAAATATTCCAGTAGACACACTCCTAAACCTTGTGGACAGCCTTCCCAGAAGAGTTGAAGCTGTTATAGCTGCAAAGGGCGGGCCAACTCAATATTGAACCCTACGGACTAAGAATGAGATGCCATTAAAGCTCATGTGCTGTAAAGGCAGGCGTCCCTGTCAGGGATCTCAAGGTCCGCCGCAGAGCACGGGTCTGCACATGCACGGAATACCAATGCACACCAGCATGCGGGCGCTAGGACATAGGCGACCGTGGCAACAATCGCGGCCGCGCATGTGCACTCGCGCACGCTCGCCTGGCACCAATGACAACGCAGGACGCACCATTTAAATCGACCCCTTGCAATGCTCAAATTGCTGATCCCGTTGTTCCTGCTCATTCTGTTCCTGAGATTGCCTTGTTGCCGACCTAGCCTGACCCTGATTGCTGTTGACCGTCTCCTGCCCTGACCCCTGGCTCGTCTTGACTTCTCTTCTGCCTGTTCCTGATTATCTGACCTCCTGCTGCTGAACCTGGCCCGTGACCCGATTACTCTCTGCCTACTGCTCTGTACCGTTTCGCCTCCGCTGTTACCGACCTGGCCTACCTGACTTCGCTGTCTCTCCACGGTGTCAACCGTCCATCCATCCTGCACGGATCCATCTGCTACTGCCCAGATCTGCTCTGCCCCTACACAGCAGGCTCTTATCCGCTATGTGCCACTGGCAATTACCTCTACCGCAGCTGGGTGTACTCAGGGGCCGGGACCAGGTCTCAGCCTGCTCCAAGTCCATCCCCACCATCAGGGGCACTGGTGAACAAGCAGACTGGGGCTTAGACTCTGCGCCCTGGGGAATCCCGGCCTGTGGATCTCTAGAGTCACCACCAGTCGGTACTTGACAGTCCCAATACTTTTGGCAATATAGTGTATTGGTTATAAATTTTACATAAGCAGGATCAGCCCTGACACCTGCCGACACTTGCATTTAGCCTCTACACTTAACCTTGCCCCCCAGCAAGTGCAGTAGATCACTGACACTTGATACATTGCACACAAAACTGCAGGGTGTCTTGGAAATTCGCTTTAACGAATTTCTCCTTACCGTGAGTACTCGCAGTTGGATGCGCAGAAATCCCCCATAAAGCTGTGCGAATCTTGCTTACCACGACTGCAGCTAAACTACATGATTCCTGCCCATCCAACTACTTTTAGCTCTGTTGAGATGTGGGGGTGGAGCTCCGTTACCCTAGAATGATCAAACGACACTCTCAGGATGGTGTTGCAATTCACATAAGGGCTGGTTTCAGACCCAGCTCTCTGTTTTATTAAAAATACACACATGCCCCCCACATGAATAAAGTCAATCCCCTCCCACCGAACAATGCAATGGGGAGTGCCTATACACAGGATGTACATTCCAATTGGAGCATAGCCTTTCCTATTATCTATCACTGGTCCTCCCCCATGAGCCTTCTGAGGTCAGCAGACTTCCTCCCCTTCCCATGAGCCCTCTGTGGAGAGCATATCTCCTCCCCTTCCCCCCCATGAGCCATCTGAGGTCATATTTCCTGTCCTACTAGCTTCTATTGGTATGTAAATTCTTTGTACAAGCATTCCCTAAAAATATCAGTCTGTACCTGGATGGACCCAATACGATCTTTATTAAAACACATCCATCCAAGATACAGTTTCAAGTTGGTAATGGGTTGTAAGATATGCATAAGCCTACACGTGGAGTTCGTACCGCTTGGCGCCTTGCGTTATGAAGCCCATGTGGTACTATGCTGCTGATATGTGGATACAGGCCCACGGTCTACTGCCAGC